GCGAATATCCGGTCCATCAGAAATGTCGAAAAAAATAAAGAAAAATTGTGTATATAAAAATTTATTTGATACGAATCAAATGAAGAAGTGAGAAAGGTTCAATATATATTTTTTAAAACTTCCATAAACCATCTTGCGAATAATTCGAGAATTTTGGAATGAGAGTATGGAAAAAGAGGTAATAAAGTCATCGCGTAAGAGGAGAAGGCTTCTTTTAAGTTGATCACAATATTGGATGTAATTTAGAATTGGAGTTTTGTGAGTGGTTTAGCTGGCTGACGATAATCTTTTCCAATTTTTAAAGAGAGCAGATTAAGATTAAAGATTAAACAGTGTGTAATAAAGGATTCATATTTTGCTGATTAAATGCATGGTCAGTTATTCTAATTAATAAAATATGAAAAATTAAAAACATCAAATGAGTTCGAATCTCAATAAATATAATAAAATTTTCGAAATCCGTGATATCAGAATTTTTTTAACATCAATTTTAATAAGCATCAAAAAATGCACTTTAATTCTGCATCAGCAATAACTTTTTTGCTGGATTTATTGATCGTCTAAATATCAATTTCCGTTGAGTTTCTTTCTCGCTTTGCAGCAGCAGCAGAAGCATGAAAAAAACTCTGTTTTCTTTGCACATTTCTTTCTTTCCTTTCTTCCCCCCCTTGTATACGCCACGCGACTTTTTTCTCATCATACTTTTTGTTTCTTTACATATATTTTGGTCCATAAAAACAGTCTGCAGCAGAGATTGTTACAGGAGGTATAAAAAACCAGATTCGCGTATGACTTCTTATTACTTCTTTTCTTCGCTGCTGCCTTCTCAGTCACTTTACAATTTCATATATATTTTTTTATTTTTCCTTCTCCATCATCTCACCTTCTTCTTATTTTCTCTCTGTACTAACTTCAGGCATGAATTGTTACTTATTTTTATTATTATTAACCAAACCAATTACTGTATTTAAATTGAAGGTGAACGAGAATAAGAGCGATTCCATGAGTGAATTTTTTTTTCTCAACTCAATTTTTCGTAAATATTTCCTTAATTAACTTCATTTAACGCCATATTTAAGATTTATTTTATTTGTTATTATGGTATATATGTATTTTAGTGCATAATCTTTTAGTTAAATCTGTCTGACAAAAGATATTTTAAAAAAACCAAACTTAATCGGTCAACTTTACGAAAAATTGATTTTTAAATTTTCATCAATATTTCTTCGAATATCCATTGTTGTGTTACAAATCTATGATAAACACACGTGAAATCGTCTGTGCTTTATAACAATATCTTATTTGTATGTCTTTCTACTGTAATTAAGGAGAAAATTGGGGAAAACACCACTTAATCGGTCAACTTTCAACCGATTATTGCAAAACATATTACATATTTTTGTCAAAATGCTGCATAATTAAGACTATTGAATGCTAATAACACATGAATTGATGAATAATAAGTCTTATTAAGTGAAAATATATGTTGAAATATGTATATTTAAGCAGAAAAATCTAAAAAAGTTTTTGAACAAAAAATTTTCAGTTCCATTTACTCATGGAATCGCCCATAATCCTCATTCATGATTTTGCTCTTCTTATTATTATTATTTATTTCTGTTTCAACAATTTCATTTCATTCTTGATACTCAACGATTGGAATTGAGTAGTTCACTTACTACTTAAAAGGCTAGTTAGTTAATAGATCCACATGGCAGGTGAGCGAGAGCAAGTTTACAACTTTTTTTTTCTTGCTGTTGCTTTTTAATGTTCTAAAAAGGTACATGGAATGTGAATGAAGGGATTAAATGAACGCTGATGTTGAGGTTTTACATCCTCTGTGATATTTTTTTTATAGCACGATGAAATGTGCGTTAGCGCCACATCCATGTTGTAATTGATTTACTTTTTATGTTCGGAAGAAAACCGCAAGCTTGTTCTTAGAATGACACTTATAATATTTATTTGGTTTTGGAACGACTGGAAGCTGTTACTTCTGATATTTTTAGCGCATTTTTGAAAACTTGTTTTCGAAAAGGGAGCTCAATAATACACTTTGTTCGTTCGTTCGTTCGTTCGGGCAAGCATAAAAACTTTGCAACCAGACATCGTAGAGAGCTCGGATTTGTTTTATTAGCTCCGTTACTATTGTTTATTGTCCGATCAAACAGTTAAAAGTCTTCAAGCAGTGTATTTATGCTATAATTAATGAGTTTTTGTTTTGTTTTCAGTGTAACCTGCTCAAATTTTGTTTTACCTCTATAAATTCAAATTTACCTCTATAATTTCAAATTTTTCTAGCCGTTGTAAAATTTCAAATTTTAAAAAACCGTTAAATGATAAACTTTTTCTATATGGAAATTCATTGCAGCAAATTATTAATTATAATCAAATACTGATCGCTTCGTCAAAAATGCGCTGAAGTCCCTCGATCAATAACACGAGGACTTTTGTAATTTTTTAATATATCCTTAGTATATGGAGTTTTTGTTGGGTATGAAATGGTTTATGCAGTACAAAATTTGTATAAAAAATTAAAATAATATGATTTCATGAAATTCTTATGGTTCGAATCCTATAATTAATGACGAAATTGCATTTTTTTTTTTACTTTTCAATTCTAACAAAATTTTTCTTATAAAATTATCCAAAAGCACCTCAATATCTCATTTTGACATGTTTCTTATTTTGTTCTTATTAGTTTTTGTTCATCTCAACACAGAAAGAAAAAGCAAATAAAATAAATTCATAAAAAGATATTGATCAGAAATATTGGCATGAGATTGCTGTATACTTTTTTGTAAACTGAACAACAACAGAAGCAAAAGAGAAAGAGCTTATAGACTGAAAAAAATTTAAATCATAATATAAAATGAGAAACTGATAAAGATCGACGTCTTAATAATGAAGAAAAGAAGGAACAACAAATGTTTATACATAAGTTTTGGAAGTTAAAGGCTCGTTCGTGTGGTGTGTACGTCTGTCTGTTTGTATATCCACAAGAGTCATAAATATCAATATCATCCGCCATTCAATATAAATTTCATTCATAAAAATATTTTTTTTTCGTACCTATAAACATTTGAATGAAATGAGTTAATGAATGGATAAATGAATGAGGAAGTTTGACTTTTTTTTGATGTGGAGCATAGAGCGCATTTTTTAAATTGCCATTTACTACTTCATAGTCAAAAAATTTACTAGAGCATGATTTGGTTAGGAATCGAACTCAAGTTATCAAAACATCTGGCAGACTCCAATTTCAACTAAGCTAAACCTACTTTTACAATGTTCCAGCATCTATCCATTCATAAAAATTCAGCAAAATCCAACCATGAACAAGAATATCGCGCCAAAAAGCAACAAAGAAATTGGTGATTTAAACAAAGTGGATTTTAAAATCATTAGAATAAATAATTCATTACAATTCAAATGCAAATTCGTCCATCTCTCCACATTTTTATTCGCTCATCCACTTCCATTCCATTCAGATCAGAGATGTGTCTATTTTATTTATTTGTTTTCGCATCATCTTCATTAGCATGAAAGATAATTTTCCTCTCTCTATCATTTATCTAGCTAATATAATCGGATTTTTATGTTATAAGAAACTAAATCTATGCGATATTCTCTTTCGTTATCGAATTTCACCAATTTTTGTGTAGGTTGATAATTGATTGGCAAAATATAAGATAGAAATCTCTTGTTAGTTCAGCAACAAATGAATATGATGACTATAAAATAATCAATGAATATCGTTGTCTAGAATAATTTTTGTTCAATCAAGTCTTTCGTTTCTAGCGACATCTTGTGTCGAGAATCAGAACTTTTAAGGTTATTCTTTTAGAAATAAGTCTCTGATTTATGTGGATTGCATAACCTTCAAGGGGTAAAATCAGTTATTGTCTATTTTTATTAAATTCATTAAGAGAATCTAAATGAAATTGCATTAATCCCATGAGTCGAGATAAATTCAATTGTAGAAAATCATTTAATTGAAATGAACTTAGCAGTTTAAAAACCTTGAAAATTATGAAACTTTTTCAATGCATGTAAATGTTCTTAAAATCTCTTATCCACTCAATAGCATGTCATTAATGCTCTTTTTATTGTCTTTTGCTTTTGTTTTTAATCTTCTCGACGATTAAGAATGTTTGTCGATGTTTTGTGAGCTGGATTTTTTGTTTTAGGTGTAATTTGATTGATCGCTTTGGAGATTCTACGATAAAAAGTAAAACATCGACGGTAGCTAATGATAAAGATACTTAAACACTTAAGAGATGACTTATGGAACTCAATTGTTATAACGTTTTGTGGAATTTAGTCTAAATCTTGGGAGGATTGCACTTACAACAAGATATTATAAGCTTTAAATTAAATCAATATTAGAAGCAAAGTCCAAATTCTGACTATGTTTTTAAAACTATTCGAAGACTTTAAAATGCGTTCAAGTCACAACAACAGTAAAAAGAATTTAATTCAATTCTTTCTCCCATTAAATCTCATCATTCGTTGACTACGGCTTACGACTTACAATGTAAGACATGATGAATGAAATGAGACTTTAATATGATTTCATTCACATAATCATAATTCTTAATAATTGTCGAATGCTTAAAACAAAAAAGACGATAACCTTAACGAACGAGTTTATCAAAAGTGCATTTTATGTTACGGATAAATTAATAATTAATGATCTATTAATGTTGGACCCTCATCAAACATTTTGTATGTGTATATCTCGTGATACTATTTTGGACATAATTTCATTATAAATGGCAATTTGACCAGTATTAGTGGAATGTTTTTGTCTCTGAAACAAGATAAATTCTCACATGATTCACATGAGCTTACATGTGCTTACATGTTGTATGCTATAAACATAATTGATGATCATAAATTAATCTGACATTTCATTCACAAAATTTTTATATCTTAATTATATCCAACAAAACTGAAAACTTCAATTGAAAACAATAGAATAAGATAGCGGTACTCACCACATGATTCTTCAGATAAATCTGATAAGCTGGGAACTTTTTGGATACATCTTGGTCCATCATCAGGCTCCTCTTTGAGAAGCATTGGCGATCCATCGTATCCCTGGAATTAAATAAAATTTTTCTCATATTAATTTACATTTTAATCACGTGTACTTTACGTATCTTGACGTAGAAGCACACAGGAAACTAATTTGCATGGTAAATGAAGAGACTAGGGACAATTTTATATTCAAAGTACATTTCTGATGGATACGAATCGATGCTTTTTTATAGTTAATGCATTTTTTTGTGACTGAGTATGATGCATTTGGGTAGATTGCATTGAATGCAGAGGTATGGCAATTTCGCAATAAATAAAATCAATGACAAAAGAAATTCTTATTAGAAATTTTACAAAAAGTGACCTATACAGTCACAGATATACAGATTTAAAATTATACTCCAGAGGGTGAGCACAACGAGACAGAACAATAAAAGTTAATTGCCTTCAAAATATTATAATATTAGCAGGTAGATGCATAGATTATTTTTGGGCACATGACAAATTACCTGTGCATATTTATGGAAGTAAAAATGAGGGGATTTTGTGCTTCTTTTCTATGAAATCATAAAAACATTTCGGAACTGATGTGGAACTGTCAGCAGGAAGTTTAAAGACCCCTTACATATTCATAGGAATCGTGCAAGGTTCACTTCATCTTCACTCATGCACCACCATCAAATCATCGCATTGAAATGCCACCAAAGTTTAATTAAGGAGTTCTTTACTCCATGAAATGTGATATTATTAACACACAGACATGATTTAAACAATGAATGAAGTTTGTTGATGGCATCGACCACCGCGAGCTGACGAATGCTTCCATTTTTAATAATTCTTATGAGAACCCGCAAAAAATTAAATCATTGAATGTTTTTTTTGGAAGAAATTTATAATCATCAATCAGCACTGCTGTCATTTGATCTTGTGAATAATTTTTTTTTCTTGAAAAAATCACTGAGAGGGAAAAATGAAGCGACCGAAAATTATTTTCTCTTCAAAAGATTGAAGAGCGAAAAGTGTCAAATGTCGCGTCTGAAATTTTTCAGATTGAAGAAGACGTAGGAAAATATTGAAAAATTAGTCGGGAAGATAGATCATTTTTTGCTTGGGGATTGAAATTTCATGAAGGAGTCATTTGTTTATGACGTCTGATATTGCAGACAGCATAGCTACATAGTTAATAGATCTTAAATCCTGTAAATACTTGTGTTTTCTTTGATTATTGCTATTGCCTTTCCCTTGCCTTACCTAATTTATGAACAACCCCTAAAAATCCCATTTTTTATAGCATTTTATTCATTAAAGCATGAATACTTCTATACCAAATCTTAAGATTAATAGGACATTGAAAGAAAACATTGAAATTTTTTTTAAAGTCTGTTCATTTGATTCTTAGGATTCTCTTCCATTTTCTGTGTAATTTAAGAACAAAACATTGTAAAAAGTCAAGGTTTCATGTACGAAAAAGAAGTAGCAACTAAGAAACTAAAGAAAGTGAAACTGAAGAAAATGAAAGAATTTTAAAAAACGTGGCTAGTCTTTTTGGTAAGTTCTAACCATGAGACTAGAAATTGTCTGCTTGTGGTCGAGACTTTTTATTGGAATTAGATGTAATTTGCTCAGAATTCGTGGGTTTTGAGTATGGAAATTGACAAAGTTGGCTACAGTAAGCTATAAATCAAACGCAATGTAATCCATTACCTCAAAAATTCCACAAATAATTCAACTCAACAATTTTGCTCTATATTAAAATGATAAATTTCGTCTCATTCCCGATTATTAAGCCACAAAAAGCACAAAATAAAATCTCCATCGAGATCATAAATTCACAAGATTAAAACTCATCATCTGTTACTTCTGCCAGATACACGAAAAAAAAATTCTGAATGTTGAAAGTAATTTTTTGTGTATTGCAATTCTGCGTTGAGTGAATTTGTCAAAATATTTATGGCATCAATGCTTGTTTCATGTTCATGAATGCCAGAATTATTCACTCTCACTTATTATACATTATTGTTTACAAATAAGAAATATGAAGCTACATACAGACAGTATAACAGATTAAAAGAAAATATACAGCATGTCAAATATTTAAGCGCACGATGAGTATGCAAAAGTCTGTGTTTGTCAAATAAAATTAATAATTAAAATGTGAATAAATATATCATATGGTCCAGCCAGAAAAGTGGCGATAATGAATACAAATTACGTTATTTTTCGCGAAACATCTTCGCTTGTAATTGCTTGTCAAAATTAATATCTTCGCTTTGCACACCCGAGAACTGTCATAAAGATTCAAACATTTGTGTCTATAGCGCATCATCATGAACAATTCTAATGGAATCTAAAATTCGTGTTAACAATTTTTTTGTGTAAATTCATCGTCGGCACTCGTTTAATAATGAATAAGAGAAAAATAAATATAAAAGATCTAAGAGTACCAAACCAGAGGCACAATCAGGCATAGCCAGAAAAAAATATAAAGAAGAATAAAATCTCCTTTAATTGTTGATTTAAAGAGATATCTTGAAAGAATCTTGACCCTCTCTCTGCCCTCCTCCTAGATATTCCCCTGCTATAGCTAACAAATTTCACTAGAATCTACAACAATTTTCTTTTTAAACTCATTGTCGCAAATGAGACGTGAAATAGCAAAACATGTGCAAATAAATGCGCGGCTTTTTTTCATAACATTGGATGAGTCGAGTGTTGTTGATTCTAAACGCAAAGCGCAAGCGAAGAATGAAAAAAAAAAATTGAAAAACCCCACGAGCTGAGAATTTCCATGAATGAATATCATAATCGTACATTCGTGTTCTCTCGTTTTTGACGTAAATTCTAAGTAAACTTACTCTATAAATGATGGAAATGAGTGTACAATTTATATATTTATGGAAACACGAGTTGGCAAGCATATATTATGGAATAAACTGCTGTTTTACAACTTGGAATTTGATAATGAAAATAGGTATTGAATTTCTAAGGTGATGGACAAGAGAAAGTGTTTGTGCTGTATAATGAGTTGGATTTTTGATATCTGGTGACTTTTTAAGACCTTAATGCCTAGAATACGCGTCAATGACCCTATTACTTTGTAAAACCAATCAAAACAATACTTAAGGGCAAATCCGCAGACAATAAAAAGCTCCAAATTTTTGTTTTTCTCAAATTTCTCTTCTATTTGGCTATTTAAGTTATATTTTAATACCAAAACATGCGTATTTTCGACAAATGTACAACTTTCGATAACTTTGGCATGAAATAAATCATTAATTAAAGAGATATTTTGATTTTTCTGGCGTCAATCTCTCCTGCAATCGAAATTTATTTTAAAAAATAAGCAAAAATTTTCTTAATTATAAATCTAGACAGCACCAGACTTGTTTTATAGCATTTCAAATTTAATTTTCTATCATATCCTTTTATCAGGTGTTAAAAAAAGTCACTTAATTAAGAGAAATTAAAGAAAAAAGCGTCAATCTCTCCTGCAAGAACATTTTGTTGCAAAACATCAGTTTAGAGTATTTTTTCGTAACACACGACAAAATTTGAAAAGTTAAAAAAACGTTAAGATCATAATCAATTGAAATATCTAAATTATGCAGTGACTTACAGCTTGAATAAAGCTTTATTAACGAGAACACACTAATTAATTGCTTAATTAATTAAAAAAGTAAAGAATTGATAAAATAATGTTTATTTTTGTTCAAAAATTGTAACGAGTTTTTATTTTTCAAACTTTTCCAAGTAGAGAAATATTACAACTCGCTTTTTGCCAGTTTCATAATTTTGCGGATTTGCCCTTAAGGATCCATTAAATCAAAAAATTTTACTAAGCAAACCCGCAAGACATAAATTCTTCAGAAATAAAGATAAAGTTCATCTTACACATTTGCGTATGTGCAAATAAAGTAAAACCAGATAATAATAATAACAGCAGCGTATGACTGTTTTGAGGGAGAGGAAGATTAAAGTCAAAATGACATTTATTCAACAAATTTTCTTCTTCATTCTGCCTTTCTTCTTCAATTTCTTTATAAATTTAAAATACTGGATGTAGATATTATTAAAAATAATTTTTTTTAACCATCACACATGTTTGCATCCTCATAAATGCCATTTAAAATTAATTGTCGCCGATGCATTTTCTTGTGTATATGCATTGTGTGTATGTTTTATATTATAATGCATCTGTATCATTTATTTTTCTTTAAATCCCTCCATCTTTCCCCCATAATTTTTCCATAAAACAGAGCAAAATTTTTTGAAATAAATTGCTAGTCCTTGGAAGAGTTTTGTCAGACTTTATTGCAGTGCTATTGAAATCTATTTGATGTTTAGATCTTAGTCAATAAACCCCGAATAGCACAAGTCGGTTAATCGAATAGAAATTCGGCACCAAGCTGACATGACCTTGGCATAATAGCCGTTTCGATTTAAATTCAGCATCATATCAGAGTCACGCTAGCATAGTGCCAGATATATGATCGAATAATCGACTTGTGCTATTCGGGTACCCTATTTAACTAGGACCAAACCAGGACATTTAGGGTACCGTAGCACAAGAAAATTAGAGTTGTAGATTCAGAGTCTGAGGCAGGCCATGGATCACAATTGATCTGCACAGCCATCGAAGAAAGTTAAGAAGTAATACTCAGAGTCATAAGAGCATCTAGTTTAGAAAATGATTTCAATGTAAGCTAGGCTTATCTCTATAAAAATCGACATAGGATATGAAGTTCTTAAACCAAATCCCAATAAATCAACTTTAATTTACTAAATCCTTACAATGCCAAAATATATTAAGAACAAGATCATTATAAGGACGACGGGATCTTCGTACATGTCAAATGTTCATTTTTTCTTCGAATTTGTCACACACACTTGACATGAGCATTCTGCATATTGTAATTTTCATTCAGGATGTTTAGTAATGCAGTGTATAGTATGTCATCAAGGAAAATTTTTGCATCATGTTAAGTGTCAATTGGTGTTATGACATTGTACAGAAAAAAGAGATCTTCTTTTCTTACTCACGATGAATGAAAAGTGAATTT